AAGAGGAGTTCCACTGGCCAAGGGAAGATGATGATTATGATCTAAGGGAAAACTAATGGGTTTAGCTCCCAACAACCCAACTTCGGCGATGATATCAAGTGTATATTTCCTTTGACACAAGAAAATCCCATTGGAGTTGCGAGCCACCTCAAGGCCAAGAAAATATTTGAAAGGGTCGAGATCTTTCATATGAAAGCATGTGTTCAAGTAGGATTTGAAGGACTCAATTGATTTGTTGTTGTTTCTAGAAATGATAAGATCATCCACAGAGACTAACACATACAGCTCTACATAGTCACGATGTAGAGTAAAGAGAGAATAGTCAGAGTAGCACTGTATAAAGCCATACCGTAGCAGAGCATTTTTGAGTTTGGTAAACCAACATCGAGGTGTCTGTTTCAATCCATATAAAGATTTGTGCAAGCGACATACTTGATTTAGTGTAGTGGTCTTGAAACCGGGAGGTAATTTCATATATACTTCTTTATCAAGTTCGCCGTGTAAAAAAGAATTGTGAACATCCATTTGGTGAAGTTCCCAGCGCTTGGCAGCCGCAACAACGAGAAATGTTCTTGCAGTTACCATTTTCACCACTGGTGCAAAGGTTTCATGATAATCCAGCCCCTCAACTTGGTTGTTCCCCATAATAACAAGTCTTTCCTTGTAACGCTCAATAGTTCCATCTGAATGATATTTAATTCGATACACCCATTTTCTACCAATAGCCTTTTTGTTTGGAGGAAGCGTTACTACTGTCTAAGTGCCATTATTTTCAAGAGCTTCAATTTCCAGCTTCATGGCATCTCGCCATTGAATATTTTTGACGGCTTCAGCAAAGTTTTAAGGTTATGTAGCTGCAGAAACAACGGCTAAAAATTTCTTGTGCCGTGGTGAAAAGTTAGCATAATTTACATACTTGGCTAAAGGATAAGGTGTACCTGAAGGACGTGACGAAGCAGTAGAACAATTTGAGGGGATTATCTTAGTGATGGTATTGGTCACAAAGTCTTGCAGCTTGATAAAAGGAAATTTGATACGATGACCACGTCCTAAATTTTCGACAGTGTCTGCAGCCTGTGGTTCCTCACTGGTTTCAACAAATAATTACATATTATAGGCGTCAAATGAAGAAGATCCAGCAGGAGATTCAATTGAAACAGGTGGCGTGACACTTGACACATCTTTATCAAGTAATGTTGCAGTTTCAATTGCTGGAGTTCAAGGGACAATAGGTATAGTAGGAACAAGCTGGAAAGAATCGTCTTTAATAGCATTACTGAAAGATGCACCAGACAAGATGTGATCATTTTCAGATGGAATTTCGGCAGCAAAAGGAAATTCATTTTCACAGAACACAACATCTCTTGAGTTAAAGAAAACACCCAGCTCTAAATCATACGTACGCCATCCCTTGGTGCCATATGGATAGCCCACAAATACACATTTTCTACTTCGAGCAGCAAATTTATCACCCTTATGATGTTGATTATGCGTATAAGCTAGGAAACCAATGACACGGAGGTGCTCAAGAGAGGGATGTTTATCATACAAGAGTTCAAATGGAGTCTTACCATCCAAGTTCCTTGTAGGAGTGCGATTGATCAAATAACATGCAGCAAGAGCACATTCACCCCAAAATTGAATTGGAAATTGAGCTTGAAAGCGCAAGGCACGCGCAACATTAAGAATGTGCCTATGCTTCCGCTCCACTCTTCCATTTTGTTGTGGTGTCCCAACACATGAAGTTTCGTGAATTATACCATTGTCACGAAAATATGTTTTCATGCAGGTAAATTCGGTCCCATTATCACTACGAACAATCTTTACTTGTTTATGGAATTGTCGCTCAACCATTGCAAAGAATTGACAAAGATATCTAGAGACTTTTGTTTTCTCAACAATGAGATAAATCCACACCGCTCTCGAGTAGTCATCAACAATGGTTAAAAAATATCTAGCGCCACAAAATGTTGGGTTGCGATAAGGTCCCCATAAATCACAATGGATTAAATGAAATGCAGAATTTGTTTTATTTTCACTATTTGGAAAAGTATCTCGAGACTGTTTTTCTCTAAGACATATTTCACATGATTGGGTACATAGATAATTGTTCCTACTAGAACTAACATTCGAAAACATTTGCAGAGCCTTCAAAGATGCGTGTCCTAGTCTGCGATGTAACAGGTCCAAAGGAATTTCCTTATTTGTTTTTACTGCAGCTGCTTTGACCATGACCATCTCTTTAAGATAATATAACCCCTCTCTTTGTTCACTCGCTCCAATCAGCGTCCTCAAAGTGGGGTCCTGAATAAGACAAAACTTATCAGTAAATTTAACAGTGTAGTTAGAATCTTTTAGCAGTTGCGATACTGAGATAAGATTGCAGTTTAGACTAGGCACATATAAGACATTAGTTAATCTTATTCTTTCATTGAGCATCACAATTCCTTCCTTTGTCGCCATTGTCTCTTCACCGTTGGTAGTCCAACAGAGCACTCAAGAATATTGTGCACATTGGTTAAGCATTCCAGTTGACCGGTCATATGATTTGATGCACCTGTATTAATAATCCATGGCAAAAAGGAACACTTACCACTTAGCTTCTCGGTTGCACCTAGCTTTACATTGTTCATAAGGCAGACCAATGCTTGCCATTGATCACCAGTAATATTTCCTGGATTACAAATATCAGAACTTGATGTTTCAAAAGAAACCTCTTCTTTAGATGATTTTGCTTGTGCTATATGAGCCTTAATAGCTCCTCCACGTTTTTTGTTGTTAGAAGCAGCATTATATTGTTCTGGTTTCCCACGCCCGGTTCTCTTCAACTGTCCGTGTTGTCGATCTCCCCACCAATCAGGATATCCTATTACCTAAAAACAACCATCTGAATCATGGCCCATTCGATTGCAATGACTGCACATTCCTCCTTTTTCTTTACGTTTGAAGTTGGATTGCACTGCAAACGCCATGACCTCACCACGATCTTCTGCCGTACGGGTCACTGTACGCAACCGTTCCTCTTGAATCAATGTCGCATAAACTTTGTTCAATGTAGGCAGAGGATCCTGAGCGAGAAGATTTAACCGTACTGTTCCATAGAGAGCGTCATCTAATCCCATGAGGAATTGATGGATTTTCTCTTCTTCACGTTTCTTTTGCAACACAGAGCTGAGATTGCACTTGCAACACCCACACTTGCATGTCAAGATCTGATCGTAATTCGCCAATTCTTCCCACAGCTTCTTCAGTTTCCCATAGTATGTCACTATGGTCAGTCATTTTTGTTTGCATTCAACGAGCTCTGCTTTGAGCTGTTGAATACGTGGTCCATTAACAATGGAAAACCGCTCCTTAATGTCGTCCCAAAGATCCATGGCTACCTCCATATGTGACATAGTAGATCGCAATGAAGGTTCAATTGTGTTCATGATCCAAGAGACCAACAAGGAGTTGTTAGTCCACCAATCTTCAAGATCTGAAGATTCCTCATCAGGTTTGCTGATTGATCCATCAACAAAACCAAATTTCTTTCTTGCTCGAAGTGTCGTTCTAAGTGAACGAGCCCATTCGTCATAGTTTTCTCCCTTTTATTGAACCTGTGTTATCAAACTCCCAGGATTATCATTGGAAGTGATATCATAGGGAGAGATGGTTTTTCGGATGACTACTCCATAGCCATTGTTGACTGACTTGGAAGATTCCTTCACAGGAGAACTTTCACCTTCACTGTCAGACATGATTTAGATGTTTTATTCTATATGTGTAACCTGCTCTGATACCATAACAGAATTGTTCTGAGATGGAAAAATGTCATGTATTTCATTGAATCCTCATATGCTATATATAATTACAAGATTGAATGGAAATAGCTAATCATTCCAAAAATAGTTTCCTAATATTAAAGGACATTGATGCTATAGATACTAAATTGAATATATGTACAACGGGTAAATAACTGAATATCTTCATGATGTTATTGGCAATTAACAGCAAGATATCAATTGTCTAAAAAATTTAGACACAATTTTTAAAAAATAATTACAAGTATGAGTACTGTGGGGAAGACACACACTTGAGAGGGGTGTTGAAAAAGAATTATAAATGTGAGTAGTGTGGGAAAGTCCCACATTGATTAGCAATGTGGTATCTCTCTCACAAAAGTGTATTGTATTTAAAAAAAATATATATTTTTATTTTATAACAAATCAGTAAATATAAGATAAATTTTAAATTTATATAAGAATTTATAGAATAATCTATATTTTATTAAATTGAGGTAGACCTCGTACTCTCAAAAGAATATAAATATGATAAGAATATTATATTGGAAATTCCAATGTCCTTACTTTTTAGTTTATGCCATTTTTGTTTAGTTTGTTATGTATTTTTGGTAGTATTATTTGGTAGAATTTAATACCACTACTAGTCTTCTCAAATTTCCTTCCTAACATATCGGTTTAAAGTTAGATCTCTTAAATATGCGACAATTCCAAGAAAATTAATAGACAATTTAGACGTAACCTTTACTAACTACTAAATTAATGAAGGAACAAAGAATGTGACATTTTAATTTCACCATATTCTTATTCACAATTATAGAATTCAACGACCTTTGCATGTTTTTCTCTCATCACTTTCTAAATCCAAGTTAATGTTTGATCCGAAAAATTGGTTTGAATCGTCAAAGTTTAGCCACAAGTGTGGTCTTGGACCTAATTACAATGATGTTTTTGTTTTACAATGTTTTTGTTTTATAATATATAGTAGTAGAAGTTTCGTTCATCGATGAGTAAATTAGTTTAACTATAACATGTTTTTAACATCTTTAAGAAACCTATCGATGATACCAAGAAACTAAATACATAGTTTTTGTAATTTTTCTTATAAAAACCATGTTCTTATATTAGTTTTGTTTCATAAACCAAAACAAACCAAAAAAACACAACATGCTATGTTTTGAGGTTTCATAATCTGTAATTTACAGATTATAATAAGCTATGGCTTATACAGCAGTTGGCATGGCTACATCTCCAACAGCATCTGTGACTAACGACATTACGAAAGCGAAGAGCGGTCTTCGCAGGTCGCGATCCAGCGTAGACATGTGTAAACGTTCCATTATGCATAGATCTTATTCTGATAACTATCTGTGTTGCTCATTCAACCGTATTCACGGTGCGTCAGTTCAACCGAAGCTTAAGGATAACGGATCATTGGGAACTGGAACTTCGCCGTTTAAGTTTTCAGGTTCTGTTCTCCCGAGTTCGCTTCGTTCGTTGTTATTTGACAAACAAATTGGTAAGGATATGAATAAAAGGGAGAAGGATATGGTAACTGAGGAAAACATGGTGGAGACTTGCACAGAAGAGAGAGTTGATAGAGCTAATTGGATAGGGAGGCTTCTGGAGATTAAGAAACATTGGAGAAACAGGTTGCCGAAAGAAAGCGTGGATATGGATATGATGCGCGATGATAATACAACGGGCGAGTTTGAGTGTGATGATGATGACGGTTGTATGGTTGATTATGATGATGAAGAAGAAGTGACGTATGATCGTGACTCGTTCTCGAAATTTCTTGTTCAAGTGCCATGGTTTGATACCAAACTTTACTCGCAGCTAGCTTTTCTGTGTAACATGGCTTATGAAATACCTCAAATCAAGGTAAGCACCGATGGTATTTATATTCCATATATGTGTGAATATAAAGAAAAACATGAATATAAAACTTTTATTTCGAATCAATTGCAGGCTCAGGAGTTGAGGAGACACTATAGCCTTCAGTTTGTTACATCTTCTTTAGAGAAGAAAGCTGCGGTGGCGAAACTAAAAGCGAAACTTAATCAGGACTTACCGCGTGTTCCTATTGATGACTCGGTAGTCTCTGGAGACACCTTAGAGAAAGGAAATGATAACGAACAGAAGCCTCAAATTCGGCTTGCTTATGACATTGCTGCGTCGGCCGCGTCCTATGTCCAACTGCGAGCTAAGAATCTCTTGACGCTTGCTGCTAAGTCGCAGCAAAGTGATGATAAAGATCCGAATAGAAGAGAGGATTCTGCAGAACACGAAGAAAAAGAAGGCATTTCGCGAGATTATAAATCGGAGGTTGCAGCTTATATAACCGCGTCAACCGTGACTTCTGTGGTTGCAGCGGGAGATAGGGAAAGGCACGAAGCAGCGAAGAATCTTCAGTCGCTTCATTCTTCACCTTGTGAATGGTTTGTTTGTGACGATTTCAGCAATTACACAAGATGCTTTGTAATTCAGGTAACTCCTTAGCTAAAATTTGGTATTTAGATCTACAATCAAGCTATATAATGACGAAACTCGACATAAAATTTTGTTTCATTTCGTGTTGCAGGGTTCAGACTCCTTAGCATCTTGGCAAGCAAATCTCTTCTTCGAGCCTACCAAATTCGAGGTATGAACCAAGAACAATTCATTGTTATGGTGCAAGATGAATTGAAACGGAAAAAAACAGACAATGGTACTCATAATATATTCTCTTACAGAACACAGATGTACTTGTTCATAGAGGAATATACGAAGCTGCAAAAGGAATATACGAGCAATTCATGCCGGAAATAATGGACCATTTGAAAAGACACGGGGATCGCGCAAAGCTTCAATTCACCGGCCATTCTCTCGGGGGAAGTCTCTCTCTTTTGGTTCATTTGATGCTATTGTCTAGAAAAGTTGTCAGTCCCTCAACTCTTAAACCAGTAGTGACTTTTGGCTCGCCGTTTGTATTCTGCGGAGGCCAAAAATTAATCGATGAACTAGGCGTGGACGAGAGCCAGATCCACTGTGTGATGATGCATAGAGATATTGTTCCAAGGGCCTTCTCTTGTAACTATCCTGATCATGTAGCTGTTGTCCTTAAGCGCTTAAACCGCAGTTTTCGATCACATCCGTGTCTAACGAAAAATGTAAGCGTCAAGCATCATTGTTCTATCGTTATAGTCGTGTTCATATACATCATTTAGCTAGTAAGTTCATGTTTTCATATTCTATCTTTTGATGTTTTTCAGAAGCTATTATACTCACCACTGGGAAAAGTATTCATTCTCCAACCGGACGAGAAGACATCGCCTCCGCATCCATTACTCCCTTCCGAAAGCGCGTTCTATGAGCTCGATAGTACTATATGCGGATACTCTTCAAGAGTTCTCAGCACATTTCTGAATCAACCACACCCTATTGAAACACTGAGTGATCCAACAGCATATGGATCAGAAGGCACAATTCTAAGAGATCATGACTCAAGCAACTACCTTAAAGCTGTCAATGGAATCTTGAAACAATATTCGAAGGCGCGTGTCCGCAGAATACGAAAGCAAAGGATTGATGAACTGTGGCCATTGATCACCTCACCATCTCCACATCTATGGAGCCATGAAAAGAACAACTTGATGACAAAGGAAATAACTTCAGGGGTCTAAAAAGGCTTCTATTTTTAAGTTTCTACATAATAACTAGATAAAATTAAATTATGAAAATAACTAACTAGTACAAAAAATCATTTTATTTTATGTACATTCTAAACATATACAATACTAAGTGTTTGTAGCAATAATGATCTTTGACTAACATTGTACAATATATAAAAGTCAATAATTTCAATAGAATAAAAAGTTCTACTGATTCATCAGGATTGATTTGCATAACATTCTACGATAATAATTAATAAGCATTGTGTTGGTATTCAAAACTAATTTAGTATACAGTATTGATAGAGAAACAAGAATCGCATAAGAATGAGAAGAAATTTTTTTGAGTATGCCATAGTAAGATACCATAATAAATATTACATAAATAGTCACAAAAATGTAATCAAACATAAATGAAAGTGTGTTTTTATGGATCGAATACAACTCGACAGAGATAGCTTTATGTTTAATCGTGAGTTAAAGATGTGTATGTTGTAGTCGAAATATGTTCATATATGCAGATATATAAGTTAGCTTAGTGTTTAAGTTAACTTAGGATTTAAGTTAATTTGTAGTCTATAAACGATGGTTGTTATTATTCACTTGTAACTTTTTGCTCTAATTGAAAAAGTGAATAAAAAACGATTTAACCAATTCTTGTTCTTCTCCTTCCCTCTTCTCTTTCTTTCGTAAAAATCTAAAAGGATTTCTTTAACAAGTACGAAAAACTTCTGCAACCAGTCCATGTGATCTACAAGACACAAGTTACACTTGTAAAAAAAAAAAAGCTCCGAGTCTCCATCCTCACCAAAGATTTTTTGCCTCTCGGCATGACTGGGAGCACTAATAATCACATGATATCAATTCGTTTCTTCTTTCACAAAGAAGGGGGTACTTCGCTAGAACCAAATCCTTCTTCATATCTAAGCCCCTGATACCAAACACACATATCTCCTTTCATGTTCACTTTCTCGAAGGATAGAGGACTTAGCTCAAAGTGGCAAGAAGAAAGAGTTCGGCAGAAATGAGCTCTAGACCAGTACTTCAGAAAATCGCTTTTACAACAACGAGTGCATCCCACCGGGCCAAAGACGAACAAAAGGCAAAGTGAGCCTCAAGAGTAACAGGTTTCACCAGCATGAAATGCTCAAATTACCCCAATCGATGGTAAAAGATTTAAACGAAGGTACCCGAGGAAAAGGAAGACTAATCCCTTATTCTGGACATCTTCCCGAGAGGTGTGGGCCACATAAAAGAGATTAAAAAAAATGGACTAAGGTGTTCCCGAGAGCAATCAAATGATTTGTTAGATGAACGAATCTCTTTTGTAGGGCAACAATGGATTCACCAGGCTGCATATGGAACATTTCATATTCTTGGCTTAAAGTATTAAGTCTTGATCTTTTTACTTCGGCTGTCCCTTTATGCGTTTCTACCAAGGTGTCCCAAATCTCCTTTGCCGATTTACACTGTGATATGCGGAAGAATTCGTCCATACTGAGAGCGCTTTGAAGTATGTTGATTGCTTTCTTCTCATTCAAAATTCTCTTCTTGTCATCTTCATCATATGAGGATTTTATCTTTGGAGTTCCAACACCATTTATCACACTTGTAGGAACATGTGGACCAGTCTCTACGGTTTCCCATATACCGTCTCCTTGAGCCTCAAGATGTGCTTTCATACGGATTTTCCAAAAATCGAAATATTCTCCAAAAAAGAGTGGTGGCTTGTTACTACTTCCACCATCTTTGAAAACCGGGTTGGTACTTGCGGAAGCCATACTGAATCGTTAGGAACAGGTTACCTTAACCTGCTCTGATGCCAATTGTAAGTTCAGAGTATGCCTAAGAGGGGGGTGAATTAGGCTTATAGAAACTTTTTCAGATTTTTGGTGTTCTTTAATTTTTCTTTGGTTATGTTCTTGGTGATGGATGCAGTAGAAAGCATAAAGAAAGTGGACACCAAGATTTATAGTGGTTCCCTTCACAATCCGAAGGTACTCCACTCCCCTTTCCACATGAAAGAGAGTTTTCACTATTGTTTTAGAAAGTACAACCTATCACACCATCAACCGGTGAGGCCTACAATCTAACAACAAAACAAACTAGTGTGCAAGAACAATCCTCTTGCAAAACACTAACCCTTGTGTCCAACAATCCTGGATCATAAGTCACAACAGACTATTCTGTAATTCTTTTTATAATTTGAGAGTACAATAGTAATATCAATACAAAGATTGATCTTCTCCTTTAATCAGAATTCACAACTTAATCTCAATACAAGTGTTCAAACAAATGGATGTGAAAGGTTATGCAAGTATGAACACTTTTTTGAATGTATTTGAAATTATTTGAAAAGTAGTGAATATGATTCAATGATTGTTTTTGAAAAATTGTTGGAGGTGTTTTTGATTTGAAATTATCAGAATTTATATGAGCCAAAACACCATTTCAAAAGGGTATAATTGAGTATGAGTTATCACATGGAAAGGTATAACATTCAAATAATTTTTGAACTTGAAAGGAAACAATTTTTCAGAAAACGTTCAGTGTTAATCGGTTAACCATATAGGTTAATCGGTTAACACTGTAACGTTGGCCCAAAGAATTTAAAATTTGAGGGCGTTAATCGATTAACCTATATGGTTAATCGGTTAACACTGTAAAAACTTTGAAAAATAATTAATTTAAAAGTGTTATACCAATTCCAAATGATTTTAAAACATATTAATGCATTATGATCAAATGATAAAATATTTTGAACACTTGTATATCAATTAAATTAGAGAATTTTGATATACCATAGCTTGTGTCCAAGTCTTGAAAGATGATCGAGCAAATGTACATGAAGCTTGAATGTTGATCACTTCCATGATACTTTGATCTTGATCTTTTGAAAGCTTTTGACTTTTTGCACAGATGAAATAATCTTGAGTATTGTCGTTGTTGTCATCAAAACCTTGAAACCTTGAGATGAAGCATGCTTCTTCACTCCAGGTACTTCACCACCTCCCTACGACATCCAAAGACGGAGGAATCCCTGGAGACTATTATTCAGGGGAAGGACAAATCTCTCTGAAACTATATAGAGAGATTCAATCGCGAGACTGTCCAGGTATCCACTACGAACGGTATGAAGAGATACCTAATCGAGTGAGGGTTGCAACCTTGCAGCGACTTTGCCAAGGCGGTGGGTATTGAGAGGCCTAACACGCTGGACGAGCTCCTCCACAAGGCTCAGTCCTACATCCAATACGAGGAGAAGGAGGCTGCCAACAACACCCGAGAGAAGACAGACCCTGCGACTCCCGAGAACACAGGGGGCCAGCAGGTTGTTTCACCGAGTACACGCTGCTCACCGCTCCTCGAGAACATATTTTGGTCGAGTGCATCAACTCGGAATTCCAAAGAGGTGGGGTCCGGTTTCCGAAGCCAACGCCTCCTAAACCCAACATCGACAAGTTCAAATACTGTTGACTCTAGAGGAGTCACGGAAGATTGCATCCACCTCAAGGATGCCATCGAAATCCTAATAAAGGAAGGGCACATGAAGCAGTACACTAGGAGGAACGAAGCTCCTCGACAAGAAGCCCGTGAGGCGAAGAGGATCAAGGAGGTAATGCCACCCTCTGACGATGCTGGCTTGCAGGTCGTTCTGTGTGTCTCCCGACCGGAGGACTTCTACCTACCCTATAAGGCCGACACACCTCTATCCGCCCGTAGCCCATAGGAGAGCTTCTCCGCCGCGATGGTCATATCCGACTGAGGGTTTAACAAACTCTCAGTGGGGTCGGTCAAGAAGAAGTTTGATGATCTAATCTACAAAAGCTTGAAGCAGAATTCTGCCCTCGACAGGTTCAAGGGAAACTTAAACTCGATCACCTTCTACCTCAAAGAGCTACTGGGTGGCGCCCCCAATTCCAGCATCCCCTTGTTGATCAGGGCCTAGATGGATAACTTCGATGTCCTCCGCATTCTCGTCGACCAGGGGAGCTCATTTGACATAATGTATGCTCGACTGTTCACCACTCTCCAACTCGACGAGAGCCATCTGACCTTGTATGTCGGCTCTGACTTGCAGGGCTTCAACGGCACCACCACGAGGCCGCGGGGAACATTAAGTTGCTCGTCACTTTCGGGTCTGAGGAGACTGTCAGACAAGTCAAGGTCTGCTTCTTGGTGATAGAGTTCCCCTCTCTATACCACTGCATTTTGGGAAGGTCAACCCTAGCTGAGTTGAGCGCAGTACCATCCACAGTTCACCTGAAGATGAAGTACTACAAGGCCAGGGGTCGAGTCGTCACCCTCTATAGAGACATTGAAGCTTCCAGAAGATGTTTTGAGGCGGCCACCAAGGGGCTCAACTCAATCAACATCACCCCCAAGAATGTCAGCACGCTGGCTCGCACCGAGGAGCAGAAGTCATTATCGCGCGTCAACTCGGTCGACCTTGACAGCCTCTTCTCCAGCAAGTAGGAGAAGAACGAAGCAGCAGAAGACGCACTTCCAGAAAATGGTGGCAACGAGAAGCTACCCCATCTTGTGCGCCCCATTCCTGATGGAGACTTTGAGCTCATCACTCTTGATGATGACTCCGATAGGAGCGTGAAGATCTGTATAGGGCTCCCTGACTTTACGAGGAAGCAATTAAAAGCCTTCTTCAAGGAGAATGCTGACCTGTTCGCGTGGAGTGCTGCAGAGATGCTCGGGCTTGACCCCGACGCAGCCTGCCACCAGCTCACCATAGATCCAACCGCTAGGGTCATAGTAAAATGTAGGCGTATGCAGTCTCCCGAGAAAGCGGGGGCTGCTGAAAAAGTTGTAAAAGACCTCCTAAAGGCAAATTTTATTTCGGAAGCCCAATACACAACCTGACTGTCTAACGTTGTATTAGTTAAAAAATCTAATGGAAAATGGATGAAAATTCTGGCAAGCACACGATGGATGTTATTCCCAAAGTTATAACATCCACTGTGACATCTGCTACTTAACAGCTAATAATCAGTAATAAT